AGGGAAAAGTACGGTGCAGCCGTGCTTCGTGTCTCAGAAGATACATGAGCTGGCTGCGAGATGACTACAATGGACTGTCTACTTATGTGGAAGATCATTCTCGTAGTATTGCTATTCTAGTCTTAGTTTGGTGTAATATGTTTCAGTTCTATATCTCTTACGTATTTCTCCAGCAGGCGCCCTAGCTCGCAATCAATCTTTTGTGATTTTTTTTCTTCTTTCGCAAGGCTCTTTTATCTAGAAAGGGCAAATTCAGCAATTATTTTCCCATTAGTGAGCCTTTCAAGTGTGCCTCTAATCAATCTAGCGGGTAGTAACTGCATCCACTCAGCCGCCCAAGTTTCATTCGCTGCTCAGTTTTGCTGGTGTCACCCCCATCGTTTCTCGTGAATCACATATCGCTAGTCAAGCAGTTTTCATTCTCGTTTTAGATGATTATCTCCAATCCTATGAAACTATCTGAGGTTTCATTGAATTTGATGATGCATCTCGTCTTTTTCATGATTTGATAAAGAAAGGGCTCAAACCGATGAAATTCTAAAAGGAACTTGGCACATTTTCCACATCACGTCAACAGAAAGTTGTTTGCTTTAAGCAGTGGTATCAACGCAGAGTACTCCATAGCTCCTTTATAACTTCAGCGTTTGGGATAAGACTCTATAGGTTTTTCAAGTCTACCTTTGCTCTACTGGACAGCAAAAAATGCAGACCGATTCGGGAAGTCATGTCTGAGTACCATGCCTTTGAAATAGATCGCAAGACAACGATTCCCAAATTATACCCACCCATAGCTCCTTTATAACTTCAGCGTTTGGGATAAGACTCTATAGGTTTTTCAAGTCTACCTTTGCTCTACTGGACAGCAAAAAAACAGGCCGTTCCAGGAAGTCATGCTGAGCGTCACTGTCCGAATATATGGCTTTGAAATGGCTCGCATAGACAGCGATTCCCAAATTATACCCACCCATAGCTCCTTTATATCTTCAGCGTTCCGGATAAGACTTTAGAGTTTTCCAGGAATATCTTTGCTCTATTTGAGAGCAAAAAATCCAGTCCAGTTCAAGAAGTCATGCGTGAGCATCTGTTCGAATAAAGGCTTTGAAATGGCTCGCATAGCCAGCGATTCCCAAATTATACCCACCCATAGTTCCTTTATATCTTCAGCGTTCCGGATGAGACTTTATACTTTTCCAACAGTGTCTTTATCTACTGGAGAGCAAAAAATCCAGGCCAGTCCAGGAAATCATGCCTGAGCGTCACTGTCCGAATATAAGGCTTTAAAATGGTTCGCATAGACAGCGATTCCAAAATTATACCCACCCATAGCTCCTTTATAACTTCAGCGTTTGGGATAAGACTTTATACTTTTCCAACAGTGTCTTTATCTACTGGAGAGCAAAAAATCCAGGCCAGTCCAGGAAATCATGCCTGAGCGTCACTGTCCGAATATATGGCTATGAAAGGGCTCGCATAGACAGCGGTTCCCAAATTATACCCACCCATAGCTCCTTTATAACTTCAGCGTTTCGGATAAGACTCTATAGGTTTTTCAAGTCTACCTTTGCTCTACTGGACAGCAAAAAATGCAGGCCGATTCAGGAAGTCATGTCTGAGTACCATGCCTTTGAAATAGATCGCAAGACAACGATTCTCAAATCATACGCACCCATAGCTCCTTTATATCTTCAGCGTTCCGGATAAGACTTTATAGTTTTTCAAGAATATCTTTGCTCTATTTGAGAGCAAAAAATCCAGTCCAGTTCAAGAAGTCATGTGTGAGCATGTGTTCGAATAAAGGCTTTGAAATGGCTCGCATAGCCAGCGATTCCCAAATTATACCCACCCATAGTTCCTTTATATCTTCAGCGTTTCGGATAAGACTCTATAGTTTTTCAAGAATATCTTTGCTCTATTTGAGAGCAAGAAATCCAGTCCAGTTCAAGAAGTCATGTGTGAGCATCTGTTCGAATAAAGGATTTGAAATGGCTCGCATAGCCAGCGATTCCCAAATTATACCCACCCATAGCTCCTTTATAACCTCAGCGTTCCGGATAAGACTCTATAGGTTTTTCAAGACTACCTTTGCTCTACTGGACAGCAAAAAAAAACAGGCCGATCCAGAAAGTCATGCCTGAGCGTCACTGTCCGAATATATGGCTATGAAAGGGCTCGCATAGACAGCGATTCCCAAATTATACCCACCCATAGCTCCTTTATAACTTCAGCGTTTGGGATAAGACTCTATAGGTTTTTCAAGTCTACCTTTGCTCTACTGGACAGCAAAAAATGCAGACCGATTCGGGAAGTCATGTCTGAGTACCATGCCTTTGAAATAGATCGCAAGACAACGATTCCCAAATTATACCCACCCATAGCTCCTTTATAACTTCAGCGTTTGGGATAAGACTCTATAGGTTTTTCAAGTCTACCTTTGCTCTACTGGACAGCAAAAAAACAGGCCGTTCCAGGAAGTCATGCCTGAGCGTCACTGTCCGAATATATGGCTTTGAAATGGCTCGCATAGACAGCGATTCCCAAATTATACCCACCCATAGCTCCTTTATATCTTCAGCGTTCCGGATAAGACTTTAGAGTTTTTCAAGAATATCTTTGCTCTATTTGAGAGCAAAAAATCCAGTCCAGTTCAAGAAGTCATGTGTGAGCATCTGTTCGAATAAAGGATTTGAAATGGCTCGCATAGCCAGCGATTCCCAAATTATACCCACCCATAGCTCCTTTATAACCTCAGCGTTCCGGATAAGACTCTATAGGTTTTTCAAGACTACCTTTGCTCTACTGGACAGCAAAAAAAACAGGCCGATCCAGAAAGTCATGCCTGAGCGTCACTGTCCGAATATATGGCTATGAAAGGGCTCGCATAGACAGCGATTCCCAAATTATACCCACCCATAGCTCCTTTATAACTTCAGCGTTTGGGATAAGACTCTATAGGTTTTTCAAGTCTACCTTTGCTCTACTGGACAGCAAAAAATGCAGACCGATTCGGGAAGTCATGTCTGAGTACCATGCCTTTGAAATAGATCGCAAGACAACGATTCCCAAATTATACCCACCCATAGCTCCTTTATAACTTCAGCGTTTGGGATAAGACTCTATAGGTTTTTCAAGTCTACCTTTGCTCTACTGGACAGCAAAAAAACAGGCCGTTCCAGGAAGTCATGCCTGAGCGTCACTGTCCGAATATATGGCTTTGAAATGGCTCGCATAGACAGCGATTCCCAAATTATACCCACCCATAGCTCCTTTATATCTTCAGCGTTCCGGATAAGACTTTAGAGTTTTCCAGGAATATCTTTGCTCTATTTGAGAGCAAAAAATCCAGTCCAGTTCAAGAAGTCATGCGTGAGCATCTGTTCGAATAAAGGCTTTGAAATGGCTCGCATAGAGTACTCTGCGTTGATACCACTGCTT